GGAACTTCCTCAACCTGATGAAAAGCATCAATGAAAAACTCACAGCTAACATCACAGTTAATGGGGAAACACTCAAAGCTTTCCCTCTAACCTCAGAAACAAGATGAGAATGTCTGGTCTCACCACTTCTGTTCAATGCCGTACTGGAAGTGCTAGCCAGGGCAAGTAGGCAAGAACATGTTATAAATGGCATCCTTATTGGAAAAGAAGATGACATGATCTTGTTTGTAGAAAATACTTAGGAATCCACTCAAAAACTAATTAGAACTAATAAACAAATTCAGCAAGGTTGCAAAGAAGATATAAAATTGGCCAATCTACGCATGAAAAGATGCTCAACATTATTAGGCATCAGGGAGTTAAAACCATAATGAGCTACCACTTCATCCCCAGTAAGAAGGCTATAATTAAAGTCAGGTAATAACAAGTGGTGACAAAGATGTGGAGAAATTGGAAGCCTTATACACTGCTGGTGGGAATGTAAAATGGTACAGCTGCTTTGGAAATGTCCTGGAACTCCTCAAAAGGCTAAACATAGTTACCATATGATGAAATAATTCCACACCTGAGTATATACCCAAGAGAAAATATGTCTGTAGAAAACCTGTACACAAATGTTCATGCAGCATTATTCATTAAAGCGATAAGTGTAAACAACCCAAATGTCCATCAACTGATGAATGGATAAATAAAATGTGGTATATCCATACAATGGAAATTTATTTAGCAATAAAAAAATGAAATATTGATACCTGCTACGACATAGATAAATCTTGAAAACATTAGGCTAAGTGAAATAAACCAGTTGCAAAGAACCACATATTGTGTGATTCCATTTATATGAAATGTCCAGAATAGGCAAATCTATAGAGATTAGTACAACCTATAGTGGTTGTCCAGGGCTGGGGCATAAAAGGGAGTGGAGGGTGACAGCTAAGAGGTGTGGTGTTTCTTTTTAGGGTAATGAAAATGTTCTAAATTGATTATGGTAATAGTTGCACAATTTTGTGACTATAGCTAAAGCCATTGAATTACACACTTTAAATGGGTGAAATTTTTTTTACAAAATGTGAATTATATCTCAATAAAACTTTTGTCGAAAAACAACAACAACAACAACTACAGGTCACATCTAATTGGCAGGATATTTATACCTCCCTGGATCAGAAACTGCTTCTGAGAGAAGTAGAGGGGAGCCTAGAGTCTAAGATACGGAACTTTTATTTTGAGTTAGCTCTTTGGGCTGCTATTAACTGGACGTAGGCCTGTACTTATTTGCATGGCTGTGATGACTCCATCTGGACCTGGGCTGTCCAGTATGGTAGCCACCAGTCAAATGTGACAGTTGAGCACCTGAAATGTGGGTAGCCCAAATGAGGAGTGCTCTAAGTGTAGAACACACACTGGATTTTGAACACTTAGAATGAAAACAATATAAGGTATCTCATGCATAATATTTTAGAATGATTGTATGTTGAAATAATAATATTTTTGCTATATCAGGTTAAATAAAATATTAAAATTTAAAAAAGAAGCCATATTCTCTGAAAATTACAGTTTTTCCTTGGGAGATGTGGATATATCAATGCACGGGTGTACGTGACTACAAGTGTGTGTTTGTCCAATGACAATGGGGGGAAAAAGGAGGCAAGTGGGCGACTCATAGTAGTGGGGATGAGTTTGAAGAGAAACACAGGAGTTGAGAGTGCTCAAGGGCTTCGCTTACTGCTATGCTGACTTCCCGTTCCTGGGCATTTCACTCTAGACTTAGTTCACAGAGTCAAATACCTTTGGGAGCCAGGAACTGAACTCTTAGTCCAAGACCACCCTCATCTCCCCCCTCATATTGGTCTGAGGGAAGAAATAGTGAGAGTGGATCTATTAAACAAATTGTGAGGGGTAGGAAGAAACAGAGAGAGAGAGACGGAGAATATTACCGGTCAAAAAGAATCCCAAGGTTCTTGAGGCAGACCCGTGGCTAGTGGTTAAGTTTGACACCCTCGGTGTCCCAAGTTTGACACCTTCGGTGGCCCAGGTTTGCGGGTTTGGATCCCGGGTGCAGACCTACACCACTTGTCAGCCATGCTGTGGAGGCGACCCACATATAAAGTAGAGGAAGATTGGCACAGATGTTAGCTCAGGTCTAACCTTTCTCAGCAAAATAAAGAAAAAAAAAAGAATCCCAAGGTTCTTAGTTTAGGGAAGTTAGCCTTGCTCACTGTGGTAGTAAAGCTGATTACATCAAAGAATTGTGTCCGGTTTGTGACTGGTCATCGTGTGATACTAGGCTGAGGACAAGTTCAGAGGCAGACGGCTAGCGTTTCTTGGCTTTATTTGCCCATTTGTTGTTTTGTTATTTCTGTTGTTATTTTAAAAGACAAGAGTGGAGTTATCAGAAAGGATTCCTTCAGTGCGCTTATCTGAGAAAACTTATCCTAGAAGAGATTGTTAGAGAGCATATTTTTCATGCAGAGTTTTAAAAAATCACTTTTTGAAGAAAGTTTGAAAATATCAATGGAAAAAAAGTTGAGCACCAGATTTTCTCTGAAAACCAATTTGTTAAAAAACACGTGATTAACATCCATTCCATATCAGCACATGAATGATCTCCCCTCTTGATGAATGAGTTTTAGCAAAACTTTGATCTTGACCCCTCCCTCTTTCCATTCTCAGTTACTTTTAATAGTGCGCTGATAAAAAGGCAAGAAGCAAAGCATTTGAAATACACCCAGACCTGCATACCCGCCTCCACCAGCACGGCTACAACGATATGCATTTTGAATCCAGCCAATAATCATCTGTGGATTGTTAACACCACCTCCTTCACTGCATTAGTTTTGACAATAATGAGTTGATGGTAGTGAAATACAGAGCCACAAAGATACGATTCTATTTTAATACAGCTCTATCAATTAACCCACAGACCCCATTCTACGTATGAAGAGGAGAAAGTAGGTTTCCACTTACTATGTAATGTAATTTCACTGGGATTCAGTAGATGGCATAAAAGAGCCTTCCTTCCCTCCCCCCAACATTAATGTCATTACCAGTGAAATAAATGTTTGAGGAAGTACTTGAATCTTTTACAGACTGCCAATGGGACAGACGGGCAAGTTGTCTTGGTAAGCGATATCTTTTTTTATTCTACAAAAGAAAATAGTAGTATAACTAGTTATTGGACACAAACATCTCAAAAGTCTCTATGATTAAGTGCTGCATGTTTTTCTAAGTGGGTTATTTCTGATATGTACTTACTGTGGTTTGAACTAGCATTTGTTTATCAGCTCCTCATCCTAAGTCAGAGAAAAAGAAGTTTTTTTTTGGGTGTTTGTTTTTTCTTGAATGATACCTCATTTCATGCATGAGTTGCCTTCAAGAGATATGTTTGAGCTGGAGATGAATATTTGTTTCACAAACGTCTTCTTATGGATTTCTTATGGAGCAGCTAACTTCATTTTGGGTGGCGTTGCCCCTTCCTCCCAGCCTTCTCCATCCGTCTCTTTGCAATGAGAATGCTGAGGGAAATGGGACGTAGGTAAATTACTGCTGGAGGCAGGGAGCTGTGCAATTCCTCTGTTTTTATGGGCAGGTTTATTTTAGTTTTTTCTCTGGGCTGCTCCCACGAGCTATTCTTTTCTGTTTTCTCACACCACTGAAACTGTTCTGGGGTGCTACTGGTCAGATGGAATTGTAGGTTTTGAAAATGTTTTCCAAGCTACACTCAATTTGATCAAAAGTGTTGAAAGTGAGTGTGTCATTACAACAAAAAGTAAAAGTTCGCAAAACCACATAGGAAACAAAGCAGAAAAGCCCTTGAACGGATTCCGATCATTTCACTCTGTGGTTAATAGCTAGTTGTCCTGGTGTGGAGAAGACTCTTAATTAATATTTGCGGGACTGAACTTAATGGGCCATATTGATTGTAGGGGTATTATTCATTAAGAGAAGTCAAAGTCCTGATCTGATGCCCCCAAAGTCTCCAAAGACAATTCAAATGCATAGTATCATACAATGTGAGGCTGAACCTATCAAAATCATGAAAATTGACATAAACCCACCTAGAGATTCTTTTATACTTTCAAATTAAAGCATCCTTTTACTAAACAATTTAGCAAATAATCATTTTATTTGGTAGTAAAATAGTTTTAAGTTTGTAATCTAGATGAGATTCAGTGCTGGTTGTTAGGACTTTGATCAAAAATTGATTTTCACTGATTTAGCAAGTTTGGTATATAAAACTTAAAGATCCTCTACCTAAAAATCAATTCCTCATATGTATAATACTTTGACTTCTTAATTGCAGAAATAAAGATGGTGTCATAAACTGAGTACTTCAAATTAATGACTATAAATGAAAGGGCAAAATGGAAGTTGAGCAAATAGAGGATATTTGAGTCCATTAACTTAGCTAGATATAAAACTGAAGGCATGCTTTCATTAAATGCTTGGGATAGGCAGTTTTATAAATTTAAATCTCTTGTGGTGGTTGCCGTTGTTAAGAAAACAAGGAGTACTTTCATCTTGCTTGTGGTGTGCTCACTGTGCGCTAAGCACTCACGTCAATGCACGGGGTCCTGTCTCTGCCCCTTGTGTCTCTGATCACTCTCTGTGTACCACACCTGACTATGCTGATCACTGCTTCCTTGAAACTCTGGAGTTGGCCAGAAGGTAGAAGGATCCCCAGATCTGGATTCAGGCTTAGGAATAAGTGGGGAACCCCACTGGAGATTTAAACCCAAACCACTTTTACTTCAACCTAGCTTTTACCAGATACTTCTGTTTTGAGATATTAGGCACTGGCACCAAGTATTTGTACTTGGGTACAAATACCTAAGTAATTGGGTATTATTTTGATTCTCATTTAATTATTTCTTCTGTGTAAGTAGATTTTTCAGGAAGCTGGAAAAGAAGAATTGGGAAATTTCTGGGTCTTTCAGCCAAATGCGATCAACACCATAAAAATGCCACCTTTACTTTTAACGTGCATTTTAATATCTGTGTCCCCTTTCTTGTACAGAGACTTTATGAGTGGTGATGGAGGGGTATACTGGGACCTCTTCTGGGTTCAAAGAAATAAGAATAACCAAAGCATCCGTGGGCATCTCTACAAAACGGTAAGTCGAAGCAATGCTTGGAAATGCAAAAACCAGCTAAGTTTGCATATCTAACCTGGGGAACTTTTGCAACCCAGGTTGTTTCTGCAACGTGATTTATTTAGGTTCTTCTGTGCCCACTGAGAGATGTGAGGGAATATGCGAAGAAAAATTTGACTCTTTACTGATACTGATGGCTCGCTTGCCTAATGCAGCTCTAGGGGATTTTGAATAAGTTCTTTGAAAGATCTGTGTAGCCATGTAGCCCCAGCTGAAAGGGTCTCTGGAGATGAGGGGGGATGTATCACTCTCTAGGTTCATACCAACACATCTCCTTCTGGTCTCATGTGCCATTGGAATGGTGATAACAAAACAGCATCTGAGCTACAGTGGGGTGATAACTAGTGCAATAAGCATAACCTAGAACAATGCCTAGCACTTCAGAGGGAATAAATACATATTTGATGAATGAATGAAAAAAGTTTTCTGAATAAGAGAGAGGAGGAAACTGCTCCTATCCTCAAAACCTTGCAGTGCTCACTGCCCCCTCATCACTCTCAGAACGGGATCTGAACTCCTTGCAATGATCTACACCCTGTACGACCTTGGCCCTAACTCCTCTGTCCTCGGTCACTCCACGCTGACATTGACCTCCTTACTGTGCTTCAGACAAGCTAACCTCAATCCCATCTCAGGACTTTTGCATTTGCCTTTTCATTTTCCAGAAATGCTTTTCCCCAGATCTTCCCATAGATTACTCATTCACTTCATTCTGGTTTCCACCCCAATGCCATCTTCTCAGAAAGGCCCTCTCTGACTAATCAATCTAAAAAAGCCACCCCCAACCAATGTTACATACCTACCATTATTCATTTACCCTGCTTTATTTTTCTCTATAACACTTATCACTACATGATATTATGTTTAGTCATTTGTTTATTTATTTTCTATCTCCTCGCTAGATAATAAGCAACTTGAGAATTAGGACTTTATCTTATTCACTGCTTTATCTCTAGTCCCTAAAACATGGCCAGTAGACTATCAGTAAATACTGGTTGAGTAAATAAATGGATGAATGGGTGGAATCTCTGAGAGACCTTTTATCATGATCTAATTACCTTTTGAATAAGACCAAAGTTAGGCACCAAACCATGTGTAGGTAATAAAAGGTAATGCAAGAAGAGTCCAAACTCAACCACATGAGAAGGGAACTCACAAGAAAGCCGTGGGGGTACATGTCAAAGGTAGAAAGTACATCTGCTGTGAATTCTAGCTTGAATTTTAAATGATCTTTGGAGGGTTGGGGTCAGAGGACTTTCCATGAATATGTAAAACCATCTATATTAGTTTCCTGTGGCTGCTGTAACAAATTATCATAAACTTGGTGGCTTAAAACAACAGAAATTTATTCTCTCATAGTTCTGGAGACCAAGGTCCAAAATCAAGGTGTCAGCAGGGCTGCACTCTCTCTAGAGCCTCTTCCAGCTTCTGGTGGCTGTCTGGCTATTGGCGTTCCTTGCCTCGTGGCTGTGTCATTCCAGTCTGTGCCTCCATCTTCAGGTGGCCCTCCCCTTCCTGTCTCTGTTGTCTCCATCAAATCTTCCTCTGCCTTTCTCTTCTAAGGACACTTGTCATTGGATTTAGAGACCACCTGGATATCCAGGATGTTCTCCTTATCTCAAGATCCTTAACTTAATTGTCTCTATTTTCCAAATTAGGTAACATTCACAATTTCTGGAGATTAGGGCATGGTTAGGAGGTGGATATATCTTTTGAGTAGGGTCACCATTCAATCCATTACACTATCCATATTAAAAGTTATTTGATTAGAGGTAGTATAATTGTTTATAAATATGTATATTTCTCTGGCCTCAGGTTGTTTGACTCTGAAGAATGTAGCCTTCATTTTAAGAGTCTCCAATAAACAATGTCTAATGTCAGCCATGTGTAATTTAATACAATCATTTCATGTGAATTTTTTTTTTCTAGGATCTGTGTATCAAGATGCTCTGAAGAACAGTAACTACCCTTAGGAATGTCTAGTGCTACAAAATGACTAAAACTAATTCTAGCATCTTCTGTTTTGCTATCATCTTCATGTTGATACTTCAGATCAGAATCCAATTATCTGATGAAAGTGAGTTTTTTGTTGACAGATCAAAAGCAGGTCTCACCCATGTTCCCAAAGACGTATCCCCGAAAACAACAATCTTAGATATATCACAAAACTATATATCTGAGCTTCGGACTTCTGATATCCTATCACTATCAAAGCTGAGGATTTTAATAATTTCTCATAATAGAATCCAATACCTTGATATCAGTGTTTTCAAATTCAACCCGGAACTGGAATACTTGGATTTGTCCCACAACAAGTTGGGGAAGATTTCTTGCCACCCTACTGTGAACCTCAAGCACTTAGACCTCTCATTTAATGCATTTGATGCCCTGCCCATATGCGAAGAGTTTGGCAACATGTCTCAACTAGAATTTCTGGGGTTGAGTGCCACACAGTTACAAAAATCTAGTGTGCTGCCAATTGCTCATTTGCATATCAGTAAGGTTTTACTGGTCTTAGGAGACCCTTATGGGGAAAAAGAAGACTCTGAGAGCCTTCAAGACCTTAACACAGAGAGTCTGCACATTGTTTTCCCAACAGGAAAGGAATTCCATTTCATTTTGGATGTGTCCATCAGCACTGCAGTAAATCTGGAACTGTCTAATATCAAATGTGTGCTAGATGATAATGGATGTTCTTACTTCCTAAATGTTCTGTCAAAACTTCAAAAGAACCCAAGGTTATCAAGTCTTACCTTAAACAACATTGAAACAGCTTGGGATTCTTTCATTATGATCCTCCAGTTGGTTTGGCATGCAAGCATAGAGTATTTCTCAATTAAAAATGTGAAACTACAAGGTTACCTTGGCGTCAGAGATTTTGATTATTCTAACACTTCACTGAAGGCCTTGTCTATACAGCAAGTTGTCAGCGATGTGTTCAGTTTTCCACAAAGTTCTATCTACAAAATCTTTTCAAATATGAACATCCAAAATTTCACAGTGTCTGGTACACACATGGTCCACATGCTTTGCCCATCCCAAACCAGCCCATTTCTGTATTTGGATTTTTCCAATAATCTCTTAACAGATACCCTTTTTAGAGATTGTGGAAAATTGACTCAATTGGAGACACTTAATTTAAAAATGAATCAATTAAAAGAACTTGCAAATATAGTTCATATGACCAAGGAGATGAAGTCTCTACAACAATTGGATATTAGCCAGAATTTTCTAAGGTATGATGAAAATGAAGGAAATTGCTCTTGGACTAGAAGTTTATTAAGTTTAAATATGTCTTCAAATATACTTACTGACTCTGTTTTCAGGTGTTTACCTCCCAGGGTCAAGGTACTTGATCTTCACAATAACAGAATAAGGAGCATTCCTAAGCAAATCATGAAACTAGAATCTTTGCAAGAACTCAATCTTGCTTTCAATTCTTTAACCGACCTTCCTGGATGTGGTACCTTTAGCAGCCTTTCTATACTGATCATTGATTATAATTCAATTTCCAAACCATCAGCTGATTTCTTCCAGAGCTGCCAGAATATTAGGTCAATAAAAGCAGGGAACAATCCATTCCAATGTACATGTGAGCTAAGAGAATTTATCCAAAGTATAGGCCAAGTATCAAGTGATATGGTAGAGGGTTGGCCTGATTCTTATAAGTGTGACTACCCAGAAAGCTATAAGGGAACCCAACTAAAGGACTTTCATGTGTCCCAACTATCCTGCAACACAGCTCTGCTGATTGTCACCATTGTGGTCCCTGTGCTGGTGTTGGCTGTTACTGTGACCATCCTTTGTATCTACTTGGATCTGCCCTGGTATCTCAGGATGGTGTGTCAGTGGACCCAGACCCGGCGCAGGGCTAGGAACGTACCCTTAGAAGAACTCCAAAGAACTCTCCAGTTCCATGCTTTTATTTCATATAGTGGGCATGATTCTACCTGGGTGAAGAATGAATTACTACCAAACCTAGAAAAAGAAGATATACGGATTTGTCTCCATGAGAGAAACTTTGTTGCTGGCAAGAGCATTGTGGAAAATATCATAAACTGCATTGAGAAAAGTTATAAGTCCATCTTTGTTTTGTCTCCCAACTTTGTCCAGAGTGAGTGGTGCCATTATGAACTCTACTTTGCCCACCACAATCTCTTTCATGAAACTTGTGATAACTTAATCTTGATCTTGCTGGAACCCATTCCACGGTATTCCATTCCTAGCAGCTATCACAAGCTCAGAACTCTCATGGCACTGAGGACTTATTTGGAATGGCCCAAGGAGAAGAGCAAACATGGACTTTTTTGGGCTAACCTAAGAGCAGCCATTAATATTAAGTTGATGGGGCAATCAAAATAAGTAGATCACATGTACATCTAAAAATATTCCTCTTTTCACTGTTGCTGCTTTTGGAAGTTCCAACAATGACTTTATTTTGTATCAACATAAATCTAAACACGATTTTGGATTTATGATGTAGATAAAAATGTGTACTTTCAGGCCCCAGTTCACCATTTATATGTGGTAATAAAAATTAATGAAGTGATATAATCTTGATTTAAACAGTTAGTTAATTTCTAACACATGAGGGATTCACCTGTTCTTTACTAGGACTGAATTCATTGAATTTATCATGTAATCAATAGTAGTACCTGTTCAAACAACTTCAGTGATATATTCTCCTGTGTGCCAGGGTCAATCTTAGAAAACGCCATGCCTTTTATACCTGTAGCTGGGTTTCTTTAGCAATTTTCTGTAGCTGTGGGTGCCCTCTTCATTTCCACTCAGCATTGCCCCTGCATGAAATGCCCAGAAAGGGCAATTCAGAAGTGCCGGAGGTTGTCCTAGGAACCAGCCCTCAACCAATGTCAGAAAGAGAATTGGGGGATAAATACTCCAACTTTCTCAGCCCTTTTTTGGGATAAATCTGGGGTGTACTTTAAACTCTTTTTGAGTTTCTTTCTTATCTCATATCCTTTCTATTCTTATCTCATATCCTCATTTCTCCAAGGGTGTTTCCTGGAGTCTTCTCTGAAATAAACTACTTGCAGTTGAATACTTGCCTCAGGGTCTGTATCTGGAGGAACCCAAACCAAGAGTGTTACATCCCAGGCCAAATGGAAATTCTGAATCTGGTTTTCTGAGACTGGAGATCTTGCTCAGGTTCTAGTTGTCTGAACTGGCATACACAAGAGTCTTTGCTCTTTTGATCAGAAGGAAGAATATAGTTGATGTGTACTGCCTCTATGAATAGCATCCCTGTCTCTGGGGAACTATTAAAATAGGGCATGAGCAGATTGGAGCAGTGCAAGGAATGGGCTATATCAGATGTTCTTTCCCCAGCTTTATTATATTAGATGTTTTTCTTACTCATCAGACATTTTCTCTGTCTACCCTTTTACTCTGGCAGCCAGCTCTGGGCAGGTGTAGCCTGACAGCACCTTGTCATAGCTATACTGTGTACCTCTCACTCTATGCCTTGTGGCTTTACTAATACCACTGCACAGGATGTTTGTAGAAGCCTGTTCAACCATTCTGGTACATGCATAAACCTGGAAGTGCCAGACATACCTCTGAGGAGATCCTTGACCACTTAGGAGACAGGAGATATTAGATAAATATTCTTCTCTTTTATTCTTGGGTAAAAAAATGAGGCATAGTCCAGAGATGGATGTTAACTAGACATAATTGTGGTGATCATTTCACAGTACACACAAATATCAAATCACTATGTTGTACATCTAAAACTAATATAATGTTATATGTCAGTTATATCTCAATTGAAAAGAAACATCTACAGACACAAAAAAGAGGCATAGTCTACTCATTTCTCAAAGAGTCACCGATGGGATTGAGCCTTACTTACCCACAGGAGTAACCAGCTCAATAACACACTCTTGGATTGGCTTTCTCTTCCAACTTGTTTCATTCTTCTCAGTCCCCTCACTCTTGAGCCCCAAGATTATTTCTCCATACAAATGACCTGCACACAAAGCTCTCATCTCAGTCTCCGGTTTTGGGAGAAGCAACCCAAATAACACATACGTATACTAGCAGCTTCTTGCCCTAAGGAATTTATAGTCAATTAGAGGACATTACATGTATCCAGATAGCTAAAATAAAAATCAATGAAACAAAAAGATACAATGGAAGTTCAGAGAGCATTTAGATTGAGTGAAAAAAATCTTCATAGAAGTGATGTTCTTTCCATTGGGCCTTGAAGGAAGACTTTAACTTGGGATTTTTCAATGTGTGATGATGAAGAATGAAAAGGCTGTTCTAAATAGAGAGATGAAGAAAACAAAGACAGGAACACCCAGTCCTATTCTGGGACTAGTGTCCCAATTTGATAGGACCGTGAGGTTGATGAAAAACGACAGTGAAATATAAGTGTGGAAAGTTAGATTAAGATCATATTGTCAAAGGTCTTGAGAGTCGAGCTATGGAGCTAGAACTTAGAGATATAAGCAAGTCATCATTTAAACTTTTATGAAGCATGATAGTGGAAAGCAAATTCAAACCATGAAATATACACTAAGAATGTATGAAAGCTCTTGTTCTCTTGCAACATTTGCAACAGTTGTTAGAACCAGATTGGCCAGTTTTCTGTAGGGTGATTGAACTTCCTGTATTGAACTTCAAGATTTCATAACCAAGTTTCAATTGTTCAGCACTGTTGTGTGTTAGATTGCTAGGGCTGGTGTAACAAAGTAGTACAACCTGGGTGGCCTAAACAACAGAAATTTATTGGCTCACAGTTCTGGAGGCTAGAAATCCAACATCAAGGTGTTGGCAGGGTTGGTTCCTTTTGAGGTGTAGGGAGAAAGGATCTGTTCCGGGCCTCTCTCCTTGGCATGTAGGTGGCCATTTTATCCCTGTGTCTCTTCATATTGTCTACCCTCTTTGCCTGCCTGTGTCCAAATTTCCCTTCTTTATAAGGACATCAATCATATTGGATTAGGGCCCACCCTAATGACCTCATCTTAACTTAACTAATAACGTCTACAATGATCCTATATCCAAATAAGTTCAGATTCTATGCTACTGGGGATTAGGACTTCAACAAATGAATCTTGGGGGACACAATTCAACCCATTACGTCTAAAAAGAAATCCTTAAAGGGAGGCATAAAGTCATTTAAGTTTATCTAACAAACTCAATATTTTGAAAAGAAAAGTTTGATCAGTCCTATACATAAACAGATACATAGGATTTCATAAATGGTTTTAAGGAGGCTGCTAGGAGGTTAAAATTGTATTGGTGGAGTCTCCTGTCAAAGAATTTCAAATTGGGAGATGAAGAATTCAGGTGAAAGTATGGACAAATATGTATTAACGAAAATAGGAAAGATTTCACAGGTAAATGAGAAGAAATATTGCAGAATGGGTATAGACATAAGCTCTGATTCCAAATGTCTGGATTTCAGTTCTAGGTCCGTCACTTATTTGTGAATGACCTTGGACAATTTACTTAAATTTTCCAAGCCTAAATTTCATTATTTGTAAAATGTACTTTTAGAGTAGCTAGCCAGGACCTTTAGATTTCCAAGTATGAATTAAAGACTGGTTGCAATATGTCCCCCAAAGGACAGAGTTCACACGGCAAGCTTTCCAAGTGGTTCTGTTGAAGCCCGTATTCCTAGAGTTGAGGTAAGAGGGAGCACACTCACCCATCCTTCTTGAGGGTCAGAACTCTTAACACACCAAAAGCTCTCTCCAAAATCCTCTTCTCATCTTTAATTCCTCTCAGACGCTCCAACCCCTTTTATTGGCTAGAGATCAGCAAAGGTTTGTAAAACCAGTTACCTAGTCTCACACTTCACTCCAGGGGCCTCGACCAAATTGATATTAGGATAGTTCCATTTTTATCCGCCTGTTATACTAACAAGACTGCAGTCAAATGGGCATTTTATATAGTGATATTAGGAGGGTCAAGTAATTTGGTAATATATATCAAGAGCTTTAAAATATTCATGTTCTTTGATCCAGTAATTCCACTTCTAGAAATCTATTGGAAGGAAATAAGTTGAAATGTGGACAAATATTTCTTCACAAATATGTTAATTGTAGGGTCATTGTTAACAGTGAAAAATTTGGAACATTGCAATGGAGAAATGTGCCGTGCTCATTTAGTGACGTATTTTACAACCATTGGAAATAGTGTTCGGGGTTAAGATGGTAAATTTTGTGTTATGTGTTTTTTACCACAATTAAAAAAATAATGTATAGGAAGTATTTTTTATTAACATAAGAGAATGCTTATATTACAATATAAATGAAACACATAGGATACAAAATTATATATACAGTATAGTTTCAATAGTTAAAAATATGCAGAGAAAAAAAGTCTAGATGAAAATAAACAAAAACATTATCACTGTTTGTCTGTGGTTGGTGCTTGCTTTTGCTTTTATACTTTTCTGTGCTTGAAAAATTTGCGATTAACAAAAAAAGGAAATGGGGTTTGGGGGGTCAAAACTAGGTTTCCATCAAAGCTGGAAGTAAGGTTATAAAGCTGGGTGCTGCCCACAAGCATTCTGGAATTAAATTCTGGCCCAATTTCTGTGGAGCTCCGTGCCCTTGGATGAATTTCTTAACCTCTTCCAGCCTCCTTTTTCTCATCTGTAAAATGTGTATAATAATGGTGCCTCTCATATGGTTGTTATAGGAAATCAGTGCTGTAATGTGTTGAAAACCAGGGGCTGGCTATTCACTCCAGAGCTGGCAGTGCACTGTGGTAGGAGGAGTATTCTAGGGACAGACCACCTCACACGGAATTCTGCCTCTTCCACCTCCTTCTAGTGATCCTGAGTGGTTATGTAACTCCTCTCTGCTTTATTACCCTGGATGTAAAATGAGAATAACAACACCTGTCTCACGCTGTTGTCAGGAGCATTAAATGAGTTCATATACGTAATGCGCATAAAACAGTGCCTGGCGCAAAGTAAAAGCTCAGTAAATGTCAGCTATTATGATGATGTCATTATGATTGTTGTTATTATGATCTCCATTGTCTTATGCCACCAGATGTGGAACTGCAGCTGAGCTGCCGATCGTGTTCAGCCTAGATTGTGCTGGGCTTCCCAAGATTAAGTAAAATGAAAAAAAAAAAAAAAAAGACAGAATTTGACAACATCAAAACTGGAAACAGCTCTGTGTTAAAACAAACAAGCAAATGAATAACCAACCAAACAAAAATAACTAAAAATGGCAAATGGGGAAATAACAAATTGGGAAGTAATCTGGTAGCAAATATCATAGATAAAATTCTCTTTTCCTTTTTTATACAAAGAAGAAATAGAATAAAATAGAAAAGCTCTAGGATTCCAATCAACATATTGGCAATGAGTGTGGACAGCTCAAAGCAGGATCCAGTTAGAAAACAAATACATGAAAAACTTTAACTTCACTAATGCAACCTGAGTGTCACCAGAGTTTCTAGTCTTGGGGTTATCACTTCTTTTTATTTTCAAGTAAAAGCATTCGAGTCTCCAACCCGCATGGCTATAGGAAAGCAGTCCCTTTTGAGGATTTCAGAGGTGTGTTGAA